GACGCTCTCGCCGCTTCGGATATGAAATTCTCGGGAAATCGCCGACTCGCGTTTTCGGCCTCGTTGAAGTTTTTATCGATCCGACGGACTCCGATTGCTCCGATCTTGGTCGAACGACATTAGTAACTCGGATTAGTAGTGCCGTCGCCATTATGGGCATTCCTAGAGGCCAAAGAATTCATTTCTATTTATCGGCGTTGTAAATCATTTAAGGCGGCTCGATTCGCGCGTTGCGCCTTGAAATTGTTTCGGCGGCAATAATATATATATATATATATATATATATATATATATATGAGTGTGTGTGCGCGCGCGTGTGTGTGCGTGGAGGGTGGGGGGCGAAGGAATATTAGCTTTTACTCCAAGACGTTTAAGTCGTGGCGCTTGCTTATGTACCAATTATAGGCGACAAATTACATTAGGCGCGTATGAGGCATTAGAAATGAAAGAACAAAAAAATAGTTTTAAAAGTATTAGTACGGAAACGTATGAGGTGTTTGGCATGATTAGATCGAGTTGCGACATCCGCTCAAGCCTGTCTCAAGCGGATTCGACGAAAAAACGAGCGACCTTCCGGATTTCCAGCCCACCACTCCGTTCCCAATAATCGAGCGCGCAATCCTCGTGTCGTCGGTTCGTTCAATATTCAACGGCGCAACTCGCGCCCGTCGCAATTTATTCCGAGCATTTTTCCGAACCTAACCTATAAGCTCGCGCACTGAATACATAATTCCTAAAGGTTTATGCATATTTGATACAACGGGTAAGTAGCGCGAGGATGGGACTTGGCGGCAGAGCAAAGCGTACGACGCGGGAACTCGTTTACAAGGCCCCGGCGAAATGGTCGCACAGAATAACGAACACGTGGTACGCGGAGTCCCACGCGCCTCCGTTCGTACAAATTCAACATGGCGAGCCGCCGCCGCCGCCGCCGCCGCCGCCGCTGTCGTCGTCGTCATCGTCGTCATCGTCGTCATCGTCGTCGTCGTCGTCGTCGTCGTCGTCGTCGTCGTCGTCGTCGTCGTCGTCACCGTCGTCGTTACCACCACCACTACCTCCACCTCCACCTCCACCTCCGCCTCCGCCTCCGCCTCCGCCTCCACCTCCATCTCCGCCTCCACCTCCGCCTCCGCCTCCGCCTCCGCCTCCACCTCCATCTCCGCCTCCACCTCCGCCTCCGCCTCCGCCTCCGCCTCCATCTCCATCGACGCCAGGCAAGGTCACGACGACTCGGGACCGGAATGGATTTCTGCCTTTTTTTTTTTATTTTTTACCACCTTTGCGCGTGGCCTTCGCGATTTTCCGAGCCTGCTGGCGTCCTACTTTGTACCATTTGTTTATTAGGTTCGCACTCACCCGCGCACGACATTTCAATCATTTTCCACGCCGCTCTGCTCGCTTATCGTGAGCTTGCTTATCGCTAATCCGAAGGTAGTTGGTAATACAATTTCGATAATCAGGCATGTGATAATAGCAAAAAGCCGAACGTGGCCACATAAATAAATATTGCCTCGAGCATTTTTAATCTCGTATTTCCTCTCATAGATAAATAAGGGCATATAGTCTTCGCTTTTTTATACAAAGGAAAAAAAAACTGACGAGTTGTAGTTTGAAGGAGCCCTTTAATACAAAGAATCTATTATTTCGTCCCTCGGTGCTGGAAAATTGTATTCAAATCTGTAACGAATTGATTGATTCATCGCAGTGACCGAATGAAAACTTCAACTTTCCCGCCTACTAAGCTAGTAATTTTTAACTAACCAATTTCTTAGTCACTTATCATTATCTACGCGCGTACGTAAAACATACGTAATTCATTCTTTGGAATTACATTCTTTTTTACTTTTATGTAATAAAATAAAATTAAAATTAAAAAAAAAAAAAAAAGAGAAAAACTGATAGTGCATTATCGCGACTGACGACTGTGCTCAAACGTATCAAAGAATTTGAGTGAAAAATATATATTTTTGGAATGGGAAATCTATTTATATAAAACGTTTACCTGATTAGGAAGATTAAAGTAGTGATGAGGAATATTATATCATATAAGGAATTAATAATCCTTAGAGCGTTGATCTGTATAGTTAATTCTACATGGACAACAAACTAACTGCAATCACATTCACAACTATAGACTATTGTATTTAATTTAAGAAAGATATTATTATTTTATATTATTATATTATTTTTGCAACTTTTAATGTTTAATAAATTGAGGAAAAAAGGTGCGGAATTAAATGAAATTGATAACAACACGTAAAATTAATGGGAAAGGCGCTAGACTTGACAAAAATCTAAATATATGCCCGTTTCTTTGCAATGTACATTATTTTAATATTTTAACGTAAAATGAATTACACAAAATTAAGATAAAGATTTTTTTTTCAGTTCATTCACGTACGCAGAAGTTTGTAATTTACCAACTACTGATATTGATTTACCGATAACCCTTTTATTTTTAATGATAAACCATTTATACACAAATGTATAGAAAATTAAATTCACTTCATAGTTTGACTTTCATTACTAATGCTTTATAATCAATGATTAATTAATAAAAATAATCTAAAATTCAATATTCACTATTTTACAATTGAAAAACATATATATATATATAATAAAAATTTTAATGCTTTACAACAAATGTAAAAGTCTCATTTGATGATGATAATTTAATATGGATGAAAACATGTTTATTAGGCATGTGACAATCTTATTATGATAATAATAATTATGATGATTCTAAGTCAACGTTTTATTTTAACGTATAAGACTTTCGCAGATAACAACAAATATCATTTGAATGTATCGATCATTATATAAAAGCAATAAATTCTCGAATGTGCTGTAATAAAAAAAAATATACATAAACATACACGTACGTATACCCTCGCAAACCAGTTACTTCCTTGCTTGTCCAGTACTCCCAATAATTGCTTTTCCATGCTTTACTATATGCTTGTTATATATGCGCGTGAGTGCGTGTACGTGCGTACCCTGTATACGCTCGTACACAGCCACGCATTGCCGAAAAAAAACAACAACAAAGGGTGCAATTAATCCCTTTTGGCGCTTCTATATATGTATATATATATATATATGTATGTATAATATTTGATGCATGACTTTATCAATGCTTAATGCCTGTAATTAACTATATATACGTAGAAAGTATGACACATTAATTATAATATATTTTACATTAGATATGCAATAAATAAATTTCTATTTCTATTTCTTTATTCGCTATAATTTTTTTTATTATGATTTTACTATAATGTCTATTATGATTTAAATTATTTGTTATAATTTTACAATTTTATGATTATTTTATTATTATTCGAGACTTTATGGGAGGTACAAATTTTCAGAAAGTATTATTAATGTTATTTTTTATTTATTTTATTATTACATTACCCATAGCGAAGTGTATTTATTACCAATCGAAAATGCATTTTATGCTTAATAAAATATTTTATTTTATTTTATCTATCTAAATCTAAATCAATAACTTATTATTTACTCGACGTTATAAAATTTAGATTTATTAACGATTAGCAAAACAACGATTCATTTTTACAACTTCTTACTGCATTATTATTATTCTTATTATTTTAACTCATACTATTATTCTACTTATTACTGCAGTATTACGTGCAATCCAATGTCGTATGTCTAATTACCAATTTAGAAGGTGTTTGTTTTTTGTTTTTTGTTTTTTAAAGGACCTTTAAAGGACATAAGAATAAATTATCATTTAACGAGTGATTAGATTAAGTATGTTTACGCTTATGGCTAGAGCTTTTAATGATTATTAAAATTTAAAAGGCGAGAAGACGATTTAGGCTTCAGCGAGAACGTCGTACCGACGACGAGTGTAGGATAAAATGTAGGATAAAATAGGAGAATCGCGCGATGAAACAATCGTGGCTGGCGAATCTGTAAAAGGACGGAAATCGCTGATCGCATAAAGGATATACGGAAATAACGCGACATCCTGCTTATGGCGGTTAGCGGACTGTCGTCCGAGAATTAGAATAGTTAGTCGGCATCGTATAGACGATCGATGCGGAGGACGCAGCACGTATTTGAAAATCGCTTCCTCCGTTCGTCAGGGGGGAATTCTAAACTAGTTTGGTCGGCTTGTAAACCTCGGATGAACCTAGGTAAGGTTGGGCGCCCGGCATTCGCTACTCCCTAGTCTCGAATCCTTGACTCGTCATTATATGCGCGCGGTTTGCCCTTCCGACGTACGATTAGATTCGCGCGCATTCGTAATATCCTTTGCCACGAGCTCTGCTAGGAAAGTAAACAAATAGAAACGAGGTCATTCTAAACAGAATTATTCCGCTACTTATTGAATATGAAATTCGATGGTTGAATTTTGAATAGCCGTCTACTCTTGTGAAAACGTGTAATATTTTTATTTATCATCAATGTTAAAACGTTATATTGAAGATTTTAGGAGGATGGCGGTGCCTATGCAGTAATTTACGGTACAATTCTTCGTTAAAAAAAAAAAAAAAAAAAACAAAAAAAAAAGTAATTTAGTTTAGCATTGTTTAATTAGTAGTTTTGTTAGCACGTTCCAACGTATTTTTTTCTTCTTCTTCTTCTTCTTCTTCTGTTTTTTTTCTACTATATACGCGAAGACAGTATTAAAATAGTTAAAGAAAGAAAGAAAAGTACGAAGGAAATGAAAAATGAAAGAAAATGTCCTAGACCATATTGCGCTATTTGTTTAATGGTATGCAAACTGTAATTATGTGATTAATTCAAATTAATTATTCATTATTTAATTGCATTTGATTAGCTATTGCGAATCGACGCTCATAGTTGCTAAAATAATGCTCGTATACATGTGCTCAGACACTGAGGCTCTTATTATTGCTATTATAGCTGAATGTTATTTAGGAAAATAATTTTCTAATTTTCATAATTCTGTTTCAATGACAATAATTGTATCGTAATAGGAAATTAAGGAATATGAATTTAAACAAATATCCATATTTTTACATGAATATATATATATATATATATATATATATATAT